ACTTACCCAGTCAACACTGCTCTGCAGGACAATCATGCATTAGGAATCTATTTTAAGAATTTTGGGAGCACTGTATTATACTTTTATTCTCATCTTTCTCCTCTCCCTCCACCCCTCAAGACATGCAAGAGGTGGGAAAGAACCTTCTCTACTCCACATTCTATGGTAGATATCCAGGTGCTTGACTCTCTGGATGAGTGGACTGTGGCAATACAGAAGAGCCAGTGAGCCATTCCCTTCACTCTGCACCAAATACATGGAGTGCTGGAGCCAACTATGTGATTAAATATCAATCCCATGGCAGGCCATTAGGGTAGTCCACTCATACCTATGGCCTCAGGAGCTAGCTCATTAGTCTCAATCCTGACATTCAGAGGAAGAAATTTACTCTGTACACAACGCCCCCTCATGGGTGAGTCGAGGGAGTAAGAACAGAGCTACCTCAAAGGGGTGCTTATGTGCCTAAAAGAGCCACCGTGCCCGACACAAGCTAGGACAGAATGCCACTTCTGCTCTCCAAAGGATTGATGTCTAAACAGATCATCATCTCCCAACAACCTGTGTAACTGGTGTGGAAGGGTCACTGGTCCTTCTGCATGGTTTGTCCTATTGGTGCTGGAAGAAGGGTTGCTGCTGCAGCAACCCCTGCTTAAAGTGATTTCCACATATGCAGGGTTTTCAGTTTGGTGCAATTGCTCTCAGCACCCCTCCCTCCTATAAATTATCCCAGCATCCTTGGTTAATCTAGTCCATCTGCACAGAACCAAGTAACTGGATTTCAATCACATAACATGAGTCTCAGAAGAGCCTAGTACTGGCAAGCATACTGGACTCCCAAAAGAGGGCAGGGAAGAGTGGATAAATCTGAAGCCATCCTCCCTCACGCTCCATTAAACAAAGCTATGCCAGCATGCAGGGGAGTGCATGCTGCTCTGCCTCTTCCTTCATTGACTCTGGCCAAATCAGCTTTTGAGGACTTTTGTATATTCTACTCTGCACCAAGAACTGCACAATGTGTCTTTGCAATATTGCCCTTACTGTACAAAGAATTAAAACAAACAATGCTTAGGAGACAGAATGCATGGGATAAAAACCAAGCAGCTCACATTTCTTCCTAACAAACACTGGGACACAGCAGACAGAAGAGATCACAAATTAGCCTTCCTTAAAGAAAGCCAACAGAATGCTGTTAATATCAGAGTATTTTTAAGATGACAGACTAAACTTAGTCTGCCAATTGTTATGTATATTGCTTAATAATATATTATCTTACGACTGTAACAATTATTGCAAATCAACAACTTAATGATTCTGGCCTTCTATTTTTTAATGATACAACTCGATACCAACTTTGATTCTCTGTTTAAAAATAATAACTCAGTTCAGTACAGCATTTCATTAAGCTGTAGTTTCATGCTATGTGAAGCAGAGAAGATGCGTTAAAAAATGTTTAATACAGTAATGATCAGAAACCTTTAACATATATAAGGAAAGAGGGTTTATTCGGTAGCTATGGAAACTACTACATGAAAAAAAAAGTAAAAACATTTCAGCTAATAGAGTTGGAGAATGTACTGGATATGGAAGTCCTAACAATGAAATAACCCCATCGGTGGGATAAAAGAGAGGTGTAAATTGAGGCTAACAACAGTTATGTGTCTGAAAACACATTCTCCTCTGACAGGCCCAAATACATCTTTACTGTAACTGCGCTAAAATCAATGGAGTTGAAGCAGGGACGAATTCGGTATTTTCTATTGCTTGTAATAAAACCATTGTATAAAGTATGTTTCACTCTTTTAAAAAATGGTTTGGAAGTGCATTGTATTTAATCAATGAAGCAACAGTGTATATTGACCAAAGCAGTCAATGTTATTGAGGTAACTTTCCATAACATACCTTACAGCTGCCGAACTGCATTCCTCACACAACCAAACCCCACTAAATACTGTGATGCCAGTTCTGTGGTCATTTACCACAGCAATAAGCCATCTTATGGGAGTAGTTCCATTGACACTACACGGATGAGTCAGACAAGTAAAGTTACACATATGCATGGGTGTTGGTCTGATTAGGGCTAAGGAGAGTTTGGCCAATATATAAACTACAATCATTTCAGCCATCTATACATGCCATATTGATGATGAACATTTTACAGATAACACTGTAACCATCAGAAAATAACAGATGTCTAATGATAAACACACATGACTACTACTCCCTTCACCCTTCTAAAGATTACTTGAGGCACTGTCTTGGGTTATTTTTGTTGGTTTTTAATTTTGTTTGGCCAATTTAAAATTGTAAAACTGAATAAACAATTCAATGGTCAGTTTTCTGTGCATCTAAAATTGTAAAGCATCTATAAATACAAATTTCACAAGCAATTTGGTCACAATGCGGATTGCATTTTCATATATCAGCATCTGGGGGAAACGACTCTGGGAAGGCCTCTAATTTAAGGCATTCAGAGGTATTCTGTGCCCTACATTGGCCTCTTATGCTCCCTTTGGAAAATCAAGTTTATTTCTTTTCATTAATCTCCATCTTCTCTAGTGTCTATTATGACAGCTTCCTACACCACTATATGGGAGCCTTATCCTTCATTCTAGCCTCACCAGGTAAAGACAATACATGACATTTTCTTTGATTACTTCCTTCCACTTCTGTACATATAACCAAGAGTGTAAATGATTCTCCAGTTGTACAGGCCTTTGGTTCCTCACTTTTGCTCCTAGTCCTCATCCCTGGAAATACTCATTTGGGCAGGGCAGCTAGACTCACTTTTTGTGCGAGGCTACACAAATACAAAATATCTATAAATCAATTACATAAAGCTTTGAAAGTAAAATAAAAAATTATAAAATAGTTATAAAACAGGCTCCTACTCAATCATGAAAATGCTGGAAAATATGCTCATAGGAACTCTTTTGGAAGTTCACCTTCACCTCTGATTGTTGTAAACACCAAATGCTGCATAGAAATGGCATTTCTCAAAGACTAATTCTGCAACATGGTTAGGACATCTTGAAACTGTCACACCACACATTTTACCTTGACTTCTAGTTTAAAATTACATGGGGGGGGGGGGGGGGGGGGAGGAGAGGAAAGCCATCTCTTTTTCTATTTTGAAAAAAATAAAATGCAGAATAAATACATGAAGACAATATTGCAGGTCCTCCTTCAGCTAAACCTTTCAGCCACTTCAATGGGAAGATAATCTTTCTGTGATTATGACCAAACCCTCTCGTTGCTTAGCAACACATAATTAAGGAATATGTTTTCAGATCCGCTTTGCAAGCTGGCCATTATCTGATGAAATTACTGGAGCAACAAATGTCATCCTCATGCAAATGAGTTGGTTGTAGAGAAAGAATGTTTGACTTGTGAAGAAGAGGGCTCAGTATCTCAGAAACATTGTTGGTTTCTTCTTCTCATACATGGATTTTTTTTAAAGGAAGAGAATAGTATGGAATTTTAAAGGACTGTAATTCACAACTTAAATATGAGGAATAATGGAAGGAATGTTAAATTTATCCTCAGGAGGAAAATTATTCAAAATGTCTGAACCCCTGCAGACCTTTGCAAAAGTATTAATATGTACTTTCACTGCAATGTTATCAAAGTAATCAGCTGGATCAGAAGAACTGCAATTAAATTATCATTTGTGTTCTCAGTTTTATGTCACTTTCATTTTTCAGACTTTTGGAAATTATTTATTCAGAAACTCTGCCTGGATGCCCTTTCTTTATGTCTGAATCATATCAAGACACACAGTTTTGTTGAATATTTAAAGGATATATATTTATAAATTACACAAATTAAATAAAATAGTTCAAAACAGGAGTAATCTATTTTCTAAATCTAGGATTGCAGCAGAGTGGGCGGAAGGGTCTGAATTTTGACAACTTTATCATTTTTACTTGCAAACTAGCTCTTTATTTAGATTCCCGTGGAATGTCATCACTGGTTTGGCACAGTTTCTATGCCTATAAATGGTATACTTTTATTAAGGCTTTTTGTGTGTGCGCTTGTTCACGATTTGTTTGTATGGTGGCTCAGTCGTGCTGTGCAGAGAAAAGATTCCCTCCTATACAGTCACTATCAATATGCACAAAAAGCATTCTAAAGGGTTTTAAACATCTCTCAGAAAAGTCAAAGTAACAAATGAATGGGATTGTCTAAATTTCCTCTTACAGCAAAAAGCTTTTCCTATGGTAATCTTTGACTAGTAAATATCAATTTATATTTTCCAAACTGAAATGCTAAGTCTGTTTGAACCATTTAGCCTGCAACAAGAAAGGGATCTGAACATTTCTGAAGACAAAAACAGGAGGAAAAAGGGGCAACCACTTATCATTCTAGTGTTAATCATTGACTTTAAGTGTAGACCTAGTTCCTTAATAGTTACATTGTCACCTTTATAAGTACTCCTAATAGGAAATTAAGAGTTTTATTTTAGGTACCTGATAAAAAAGTAAATTAATTAAAAAAAAACTATGGTTACTGCCAACAGCAAGTCAATTCTAGAATGAACACCATTAGCTATATGATAAATTTAGTCAAAACAATGCTAGCCATTTCCTCTGAGAAACATATTTGTGCCCGATAACAACTGCCGAAGTAAATCTACAACTAACCCTGTGGCTTAATTGCTCAGAAAGTGCTGTATCTAATCTTCTATTCCATACAAACAACAGGAACAGCAAGATTCATAGAAGAACCATTATCTGATATATCAGTCACTTTAACTGAAGTTAGCTAATCAAATAATACTCTGAATTTAATCGCACAGTGAAAGGCAGGACTGAAACTGAGTAACGTGTGGCCCCTCAGTAAACTTCTTTGTCCCACATTTTTTGTGCACTGGGTTGTATCTAATATTTTAGCCCCTAAGTCTAACTGGATTTATTAGACCCAATTTTATCTTATGATAAACAAAAACACAGACATAACATTCCTAGAGCACACTGCAAATAAATACACTTTTAGAAAATTACTTGGTTCAGGCGACGCCATAGTCGAGACAATAACTGGTGGTCCAGTGCGTCTGGTGAGTTTCTGATAAGGAGAATGTTGCATATGAAAACTCGGGCCAGCAAGTGTCAGGGTGGAATCCATTTGGGCTCCTTGCTTTCGGAGAAGCTGAGGGCTGCTGTGTGGGCTATGCATTGGGGACATGGATGTATTTCGGTCCCTCTTCATCAGCTCCATGGGCACTGTGTAAGAGGTTGGATATGCCGTTTTGGAACTTGCATGTGGGTTATTCTGCACGGTAGTCACTGGTAATCCAGTTGGAGCCGAATAGGCAGACACTGGACGAGTGTGCATGTTGCACGGTAAAGGAGTGCTGTATCCAGAATTAGGTAGAAAATGAGCCCCCTGATGTGCTGCTCCAGATGCAGAATAAGTTGCAGTTTCCAGAAGGTGCTGTGTTGGAGCACTGGATGGGCGACGGTTTAGCTCCCCTACTCTTGGTGATACTGGCTGTAAAGAAGGAGGAAGTGGCTGCTGCATAGTTATGCCATCCACAACAGGACCAGTAGTAGGGTGCATGCCATATTCATTCTGTAGCAGTTCACTTCGATGGCTAAAGCTGTTGGATCGGGTCCTGGGACGGAGTACGCTGTTCTTTCTCTCATGCCTTTGCAGGTGCATTTCTGTTTTGTAGTTATGGGCAAGGCGGGAAAGCACTCTTGCCTGTCCAAGATTTGGAGCCACAGATTTTATATCGTTCTCTTCCATCATCGCTAGCAGGCTGGGAGAATCAAACCCTTGCTGCACCAAAGCATTGAATGTGCTTTCAGATACACCTTCTGAACGCAGAAGTCCGAGGAACTCTGGATCAAAGTTTCTTTTCATGTCTTGTCCTGGGAAAGCCGCAGGCATCTGAGCTTGGGAAGGAGTCATGGCAGTGTCATAACTATCATAAGGAACCTTTGCATTGACATTTTCCCTGATGGGGCCATAACCACGATTTATAGCAACGGCAGATGGACCTATGCTCCCATCAGGAACAGAAGCAGAATTTGGATCAACTACCAAGCACGTTGGAGTAGTTTGCCTAGCAGCTGCGGACTCTATCGGTCTCTCTGCTGTATCACCATAGATCTGCCTGTTGGGAAAGGATGGTGGTTCTGTTCCATATTTAGGGGTGAGTGGTTCAACACCATACCTTGCAGGAGAAGGATCTCTGTTTCGCATTCTCTGCCCCTCTTGGATCATTTTACTCATGGGATCCCTATACACACGGCTGGCTTCGTGCGGGGCAGGTGATCGTCCTTGTACCTGATCCCAAGCCAATCTGCTACTGGGAATCCCATAATTCGGTAATGATCTATTCATCATGTGGTCTCTATAGTAGCGTGGATCTTTAGGTGATCTAGCAGCTAAAGATGGGTCACTGTAATAATCCTGAGCTGGCAAGGAGCTTCGTCCAGACATTGTAGACTGTCTGTCGTAGTAAGTAAAGTCAGGAACAGAACCCTTCCGTAAGGGACCCTGGTTAAAAACTGGATCCTGATATGGGTACGGCTCTTGCTTCAATTCAGCACCTCCTTGCAAGATGATATCATGCGGTCTATGGTTTGGCTGCTCATACCAACCTCCTTCTCCACTGTAAGAGAGTGAATTTCTCCTCCCTGTTGGTCTCTGATATTCAAATGCACTTTCATTCTCCCAGTTGCCTTCATACCATCCTGCAGCATCCCAGCTCTGAGAACGACCGATATTGGTATGCTTACTTGGAATCGGCATTGGAAAGAAACAATTGACTTCTGTTGAGATAAAGAAGAGAAGGAACCTCTCTTTTTAAATCTTCTATTACACACATCAAAAACAGATCGAGCTGTATCTGAGCTCTTCTGGGACTTCAGAAACAACCAAGTGGTGGTTTTATATTTCAAAGTATTGCCTGAATTATTAATTCTTCGAAACTTTAGTAGACAAAAACACACAACACCCACTGTAACTCAGTCTCACTCCAAAACCGTAGAATGAAAGGTCTTTTCTGTTCAGTTCAGTCACAGACAAGGGTTTCTGCATTTAATCCAGATGGTTTATCCCTTCCTGCTTGGGACAGTTTGCTCACATGGACAACTGGTCTAGCAGTGTGTGAGGATTATGAGCTAAATAAAACCCCTAAAGCCTTTGTTCCATGTGACATCACTTTAGCCCGATGAAACCTACTGAGCCACCCGATCCAGCAATCTCACTATAATTTCTCTGCTGAAAATTATTTTTACATTTTATTTGTCTATACTTTCCATCCACATTATATTCCCTTTTCCAAGTCAATTCCTCTAATCCATGCCAGTTCCAGACACCCCTAGAAACTGATACAGGGGAAAAAATTAAAATATATATATTATATATAAAGTAAAAAAAACAAAGAAAGCTTCGATGTCAGCTCAATCGTAATCCATCCTGATGAAATGCTAATCCACTGCACACAGCTAAGGACAAATTAAATGGAAGAAGGCAGACAGGCCTTAAAAAAGGCTGATGCAAGATACTCAAGAATATAAGACACTGGCTAGAAATTTGTTAGGTACTGTATCAGAACACTTTACGAATATTGTAATTTGCTTTGGAAATTACATTTTTTTGCAGTTTCAAATTAACTCCAAAAGGATTTTTTACATTATTATCATAATACTCAAATCCTTTCATCATCCTAGGAAAGAAAATTGCGGAGGTGTAATCTGGAATTTATAATTTTAAGACCCCTAGAAGAGGTCACAGTAAAGGAAGGGAGGATCAAAAGATCTTAAACCTGGTATTACAAAGCAAAAAAGGGAGTAGTAGACTTTTGCCTATTATCTCCCGGTTTCCTTCAAATATATGCTTATGAGATGGAAAAACACTCAGACATCAGACAAAACTCAATTTTTGTGTCTTGCAGCATTTCAATAGTCATATGGCTTAGGCTTTTAAAGCCGAAAGTAGGCAAAGGGATTTAGATAGAATCACACCAAAGAAAATTATTATTTAGAAACATACTAAATTTTTCCATAAAAGGTTACTATATTGGGAGAGATATTAAAGTAATTCTCTAAAACACAGATTGTCACATGCTACAAGTGCTCAATCATTGTTTTTGCAAGAGTAGAGCAAATATTCCATATACCAACCATAATGTACACTGTAATACTTTTATTTTTAAAACATTAAATGGAAATAAATGTTTCTCTCTCGGCTGTAGTACAAATTTCTACACCACTGATATTCATACTTCAGGGGTAAATTACTAAAAAGGAGTAAGAGTCACCTTTTGGGAGGGGAGGAAGGTAACAGCTTGTGTACTTCCATGGCTAATACACAATAAAGGATTGGTACACTAGCCATCACATGATGGGTATTGGTACACTAGCCATCACGTGAAGTATTGTGCTATTATGATTGCTAAGTCACTAATACAGTCTAATGCTTATACCCGTCTATCATACTAATGCCTCTAGGCTATATTTCTGACCCAAATAACTGACAGGATATCTTAGTAATCCCTAAATTTCTTCATTGCAGTAAACAGTACAAAATCCTCTTCAAACCTCCTCCTCACAAAGAATTCAAGTCTTTTAAAATATGCTGAACATACTATAGATGTACAAAAAAAATTGCCCCCCACAAGTTTATTTATGCATTTTTGGACAATATCTGATTAGCATCATATTGAATTAACTAACAGAATTAAGGCAGACTGGAAAATTTCTTCCTGTGAGAGACAGAATGGAAAGACAAGTTTGTAACTGATGAATTACTGGAGAACATCTTGGTCATATAAAAATATTTGATTACATTTTTTTAAAAGGGTAAAATATATTCCAAACTAGATATGTTAAAATCCACAGTTTGGTTGTTTTAAATACTGTTGTTTTCCCTGTTACCAAAGTTCTGAAGCAGAAGAAGGCTACGTCTATACTGCAGAGTTTTTGCGCAAAAACAGTCATTTTTGCACAAAAACTTGTGGAGCGTCCACACTACAAGCACATTCTTGTGCAAGAAAAAGTACAGTAAATTGTAAGAACACACGGCTTTTTGTGCAAGAGTTATTCCTCTTTCTATGAGGGATAAGCCTTTTTGCTCAAGAGTTCTTGCGCAAAATGGCATGTGTGGACAGGCAACAGGGGTTTCTTGTGCAAGAAGATGTCTAAAATGGCCATCAGCACTTTCTTGTGCAAGAGAGCATCCACACTGCCATGGACACTCTTGAGCAAAAGCACATCTCTTGCGCAAAAGCACATGGCAGTGTGGACATGCTCTTGTGCAAGAAGCCTGCAGTGTAGATGTAGCCGAAGACAGCTAGTGAAAATTAGGGTTATGAACGGGGTAGGCATCATTCTGCCTGGGGGATGCTAACTGGGTAACAGTTAACCAGTTCCCTGGGGAGCAGCCCTAGCAGCCAGTTCTACATAGCTGGGACTGGGATCCAGCAGAGCCAGCCTCAGTGCAGTGATTGGGGATAGGAACCTCCACAGGCTGAGAGGCTGGAGAAGTGAGATCCAGCTTAATCGGTTAATCAGTTAAAATGTTTAATCAGTTCGTTAAGTGATTAACTGAGATTTTACATCCCTAGTGAACATTGTGTAATTTTACACAGGAAAACACTATTTATTGTCTCTAGTTCAAGTGTATCTTTCAGTCAGTGATTTCAAAGGAAATTAGTGATGATTTTAGCCACACCACCAAAATTGGTGGTGGTATCCTCAACACATAGCTGAAAAAACTAGATTACAGGGCTGGTAAGGCCTCTATTTTCTAGTTTTCATTAATTCTAGATGTCTCATTTCAGAAGTGCTGAGCAAGTCAATGGAACTTGAAGTCAGTGAGGAAGGCGGCTAGGGATGTTAAAATTAGATTAATGTTGCTACATTTCAAAGGAGGAAGTGCCAAGCAGCTTTCTGCCTTTGAAATGTACAAGAGCTCCAGCTGGCCCCAGACTCCATGTGGTGCTTCTGCTTTGAAATGTGCAAGAGCCCCAGCGGGGCTGGAGGGAACTGGGTTTTAAGCTCCCTTCAGCAACCCCTCATCCTCCTTCCCTGATAGAGGCAGCAAGGGAGTGGGGAGCAACTAGTCGAATAGTGTGTCGACTATCCGATAAGCTTTTACTTATTGGATAGTCGACCAGTTGATTAGTTGCCTACATTCCTAAATGAGGCTGTTCAGCACCTCTTAACTGCATCTTCCCCTCATCCCAAGCCTTAGGGTCTCAAGTTGGGCACCCAAAATATAAGATACCAAAATCCACTTGAAAATATGTAGCAACTTGCCCAAGTTCACTCACAAACTGAAGCAGAACCAGAAGGAAATCTAGGTCTCACAACTCCCCGTCTTGCGTGTCCTAGCTAGAAGATTATCCTTCCCCATTCCTGAAAGACCACTGCTTACTAACAGCTTCAAACTTGGCTCTAAAAATAATCATCCAGCAATTGCATCTAGTATCTTTAGATAAAGAAATGCTGTGAAAACCAAAAATGAGGGGGAGTGCTCAGGAACAATGTCTGTGTTCTTGCTTTATCAGAGCCAGCAAACTAACATTTTAGGCCCTGAGCCTGGTAATACTTGTGCGTATAGTTAAATTTAAACACATGAGTAGACTAATTGACTTCAATGAATCTGCACAAGTTTTAAAAGTTAAGCATGTGTGTGTTTGCAGGATCAGGGTTTTAGTGAGAAGTCCGACAATTTGCCACAACACAAAGTTAAACAAATTCTTGTGTCCTGATTGGAAAATATATTTCTATTACATTGACTTAATTTAACAGCTGCTAGGCAGCCTTTTGGTCTAAACTATCATCTCCCTGAAAACCCACTGCTTACCCTAGCCATGTCTGCTCTGTCCTCCCTCTAACCTCTCTGTTAAGGTGGACACAGTCTGTTTGCTCAATGAACACAAATGGGAGCATGGACATGACCATTACAGCCAGCATGAAATACGATGAGGGAGGGAGACAAAAAAAAGTTAAACTCCCACCACACTGGGAAATGAGTAAGAAATACATTTAAATGAAAGAGAGGTGTAGAAAAAAAAAGAGTTTCTATTTAACTATCAGTATTTCTATAGCTATTTATGAAACAAGATCCCTGCAACAGTCATGAACAGAAGATTTTATGGAGCAATCCATTGATGCAACATAACTAATCTAACTGGATATCTGGGAAAAAGAGCAATTCACAAATATTGACATTCCTAATACAAGGGTGAGACTGAGGAACATACTTTACATGTAGCCCATTTTATTGTACCTTATCTGTGAATTTTTCAGATATAGTGAGAATATTGCAACATGGAACAAAACCAGAATAGTTACTATAATATGAAATGCTTTTGTCTTTTGAACCTATGAAAAAATGCACAATGCAAGTTTAATACAATGGATTTCAATTCAACAGTGACATAATCACTGTATGTTTTGCTATGATATCGCATCTGCCAAAATAGGCTTGTTTTTTAAAAAATATAATGGGTGACTCTGTCATCTAAAATCCCATCATCTAAAATGGAAGGGGTAAAGATCAAATTTTTATAAGTCAGTGGGGTCTGATAATGGCAAATGTCTTGCCTTACACGGTGCTAGAAAATTTAGTTCTGTATCAGAGAGAAGAAAGCATAGATTATATACTCTTACTTTAGATAACAAACTATTAAATCTGCAAATGCTAGAGAGCCTACTCTTGCCTCAATGTTTATATGGAATTTGGGAATGTAAAAATCAATCAAAATAGTTAACCGATTAAACTATTAAAATTATACCACTTAACCCAGCGGTGGGCAAAG